CATTAGTGGCAAGTTTGTAGATAATAAAAAAATGATATATCAAGAAAAAAAATTGAACAAAATATATGTATATATACACAAAACAAATGTTTGCAATCTAAATGGGATAAAAAACTTATTCACATTAATGTATGTACAAAGCATGTGGTAGATATACCAACTGAACAACTCAAAACCTAATGTATCTCACTCACAAACTTACAAGTAAGTCATGCCCAAAAGGAAAAAAATCTTACACTATTTGAAAATAGTTGTGATGTGACAAAAGAAAATAAGCTGTGTAGGGATGCTTCAGAATGTTACGAATTTTCCAAGCTGTTAAAGGTGATATTAAAATGGTAGTTGGTACGTCCATTGAGCGGTTAGTATGTTTGTTAGTGACCGAGAAGTTAGTGCACTGAATGTGTAAGTAATGGAAAACAAAATACGAGGTGGTTATATTCACTGAAGAAATGTCCTCAGGGGTCTGTATTGTCCAATTATGTGGACACAGGGGTAGCGTCACCAGCGTAAAGAGTTCGCATGTTGGTCCAGTAGTGAGTTCCAAATGTAAGGCCGTTCTGTGTGATCTTCGGAATTTTCGAAAGAGGTGAGCGATGCATGCCAATACGAAGAATGTTGTCAATATGGATAGGGAAACATATGGCCAAGGAGTGGTGAACGAGGCATAAATATGCTCTTTTATGCTGGGTGGTGGTGTGTTCTCTTGTGCCTCGTGGTAAATGAACGATAAGGTCGGTTTAAGTGTGGACGCCGTTGTTGAATGGGCCTGATGTAGCAGCAACACTGGAAGCAGGACAGTTCGAATTTTGTAACATGACCAAATGCTGAATATGAAGCCGAAGAATGCAACGGATGTTGCAATGATAGCTAAAATACCACTTGTGTCTGGCCATTTGTCGACTGCAAATTCCACCTGGCCTGCGATCATAGATTCTGCGAGGTTATTAAACACTTTACCATCACGTCGAACAGCTTTTGCAATGCGCTTGAGGCTTAGATGTTGTTGTTTGTCGTTGGCCAAATACTGGGAAAATGAATGGTTGAAGATTTGGAAATTTGGTAATTTGATGTGAACGAATTCTTCAAAGATGGTGTCTCCAAATATAGTTGAGTGAGCATCCTTGTCGAAAAACTGCTGAAGCAGGGCTAGATTGATTGGGTGGAGGATGGTAACCTTATCAGTGTTGTTGTTGCATTTGCCCAAACGGGGTGGCAGATACAAGTCATTGCTTGTTACTGAACAAAGGCATGGTATCTTCACAACACAGAAGGGACAGCCCTTGAGAATTCGTTGACCATTTGCACAATCTAATGCAATCATTGTTGTTCGGTACAGCAGTAGATGTGAGGGTGACAGTTCGTACATGGCAGTGGGAAGCACGTTGGTCAAGAGACGAAAGTCACATATTTTGCTTACTGCTTCTTTGTGATTGAAGAAGACTGCTGACAAACAATTAGGAGATGCTGTGGCTGTCAGTGCAATGTTGAAATGGCAATATAGAGTTGTTGATCCCTTGCACTGAGCCAACTGTTGAGACGTAATGGTGGCGTAATGTTGATTGTCCTCTGTATTCAAAAAGTAGGGTGGCATGTTCATTAGCTGAGTAGCATGATTGGAACTCGCGTTGACAGGTACTGGATAAGTAATCACCTTGTACACTGAAATAGGTAGGTGGAAGGAAGATATTGGTATTTTCACGGTCAGGTATAAATGAGAATGTTGTCTGGTAAACAGGAATTCCCCAAAGGAGTAATAGAACAGTGGGTCCTTGTTGGAAACTTGAAATTGTGGGAATTTCTCCGTGATGATGTTTTGGACTTGGTTTAAAGATGACTTTAAAACATGTGGTGACAACAGGAATGGAGATAGCTTGCCTTTCACCAAGTCATGTATTGCTAATTTGATATGTTCAAGCTCCTTTTCCAACTGTGCGGAGACATTAGTCTGTTTGATTATTAGTTGACTCATAATGAGGAACTCGTGATCCAGGGCATCCATTGATGTCTGTGCTAAATTGGAAATAGCAACAGCATCCTGATGATTCTTTTGTACAGCTGCTAGGATGTTTGTAAATCTTTTGTCGACTGCGTTGATAAAAGATGATAGATGTTGATCCTGGTGGGCCATGGCTCTTGCGAGTTTTACATTATTGTTGTTCAATACTTGCATGTGTCGTTGGAGAGTAGCAATATCGTCAGACGTTGCAGTTCCAAAAAGTGATTTCGAAATTTCTCCAACGAAATCAAAAAGTCCTCTTTTTGATCTCGAAGATCCAATGTATTTCTTATCTGCAGGAAGTTCTCTTGTTGGGATGAGCTCATGGATATGATGCACAGTTGAGTTTACACTAGCCATACACTGCATTCGTAAAGAGTTTAGTGATTTGACAATGTGGCCGGCCGTTCTACAATGAGGCATAGTGCAGTATAACTCAGGCAGATGAATCTTCTTTGGCAGTGGAATCTGAAAGGTGTGTAACCAATGTTCCTGGCCAAGGTATAAGTCGTTCGTCTTTTCAAAGACAACTCCATAGTTGATTCTCTGGATGTAGTGGCTTGAAGAATCTATTGCACACACTGAGGTGAGACAGAGGCAACTGATGATAAACATAGTAGTGTTATGAGACGGTCCAAAGCCCTTTTTCTGTCCATGGTAGTAGTTATTCCGTCCATGGTACTTTCCTTGTCCACGACACACTAAAAAGAAGGAAAGAAAGTAGGGTAAAGAATGTGCACAGTGTACAGTTATGTCAGTATCAGTAGGTACCATTACTGAGAAGCACTAAATTAATAATTTTGAGGAATCATTAAAATTTTAACATAAACTTATACAGGGTGCACTAGGAAGGGGTTTAAGGATAAGAAAGGTTAAGTGGAGTGGACAGGAAAGGTTCGGAATTTAGTAAAAACATGATCTGGTCCTCCGTCTGCGCTTGCGCGCCCGTCCCATCTGAGTCCTGGTAATGTGATATTCCCGGATAATTTCATCGTTGATGTGTTCTTCCGGTTCCCAGGTTTTAACACTGCTTCCTTGCCATTTTACTAGGAAGTATTTCTTTCCATTGACAAGTTTGTATTGCATCAGTTTTTCAACATATTCTTGTTTATCGTTTGTTGATTGGTCAGCATCCACTCGTCTCTCTGTGTTTTGCATTGTTTGCTGAGTTTGAGGGTTCTGAGGTAAATGCTGATCTTCCGTTTGAGGTTCTGCCATGTTAGGAGTTGTGGACTGTTCATTTGTAGTTTGTGCATCATTACAATGTGGTTCAGTGTGAGGTTCCACTGGGGGTTGAGCTCTTTCCTGCTCCTCATCTTCAATTGGTTGTGAGTTGTGTTGCTCTGGTGGCAGATGAGAATCATCTATAGGATCTGTTAAAGGTGGCGGATCAAGTACTTTGCGAAAATCTGGGTTCTCAAAGTGTTTCAGTCTATTGGCATGAATCCGAGACTTCACTACCTTGTTATTAGAGCATTTCCGGAGACTGTACGTGTTATTTGGACATTCAGCAGTGATGTAATAGGGTCCGTCCCATGGATTATGTAGTTTAGGTGAAAGTCCCTTCGGTACATGGGGTTTATGCAGCAAGACACTTTGTCCAACAGAGAAGTTAGGTTCCTTCGAAGTCTTGTCGTATTGCTCTTTTTGCTTTTGACGAGCATGCTGAATGTTCTCAGTTGCAATCTCACGCACTAATTTAAGGTGTTTCATCAGGTTGGTAACATGCGTTTTTGCATCCTGATTCATTCCGTCCTTTGGTATAAGAGATGTGTCAAACGGTAGGTACATTTCTTTTCCAAAGAGAATTTGGTATGGAGCAAGATCCGAGGATTGGGTGGAGGGACTCATTCGGATCGCCATTAGGATACCAGGTAAAATGTCATGCCAATTCGTTTGATGCTGGTTCACGTAAGTACGTAGACATTGTGCGAGGGTACTGTTCATCCGTTCACAAGTAGCGTTTGTTTGGGGATGATATGAACTGGTAAAATGTCTTGTCACTTGGAAAATCTGGCAGACTGCTGTAACAAGTTTGCTCATGAAGTTTTGTCCTCGGTCGGTGACAATAGTATATGGCGCACCATAACGACAGAAGATTTCCTTGAAGAGTACTTTGGCTATTTCAGTTGAATCTTGAGTTCTCAATGGAAAAGCCTCTGGCCATTTGCTGAAAGAGTCCACAATTAAAAGTATGTATTTATGTCCTTCTGTTGTTTTGGTGAGTGGGCCAAGGATGTCCATGTGGATTCGAGAAAATGTGTCTTCAATAGGCATTGGGGTCAATGGTGCTGGAGCATGATGTGTTGGTCTTTTGGACAATTGACATTCTCTGCAGGATCTGACATAATCTGCTATATTTTGATACATAGCAGGCCAATAATATTTCAACTGGATGGCACGGTATGTACGTTCAAAGCCAAGATGTGCACCACCTGCTAGACTGTCGTGGTATGAGCGTATAACATCTTCTCGGAGACAACGAGGAACTGCTAGTTGTTTGAGGTGATTGTTTGGATGACGTGTCCTTTTGGATCTTGGTTGGTAATAATGGTAAAGAACACCATCAAGAAAAACATAAAAATTGGATTCACTGAGTAGTCTATCTCTGCATTTCTTGTCCTCTGGTAGATCCTTATCTGAAAAGTAGCTGTACAAGGCTTTGAAATCTGGACAGCTCTTTTGAAGATCACCAATAGAAGTTGTGTCCACGGGGTATATTGTCTCTGTTTCCATGGTTTTAGGGAATGGTCGCTGATGGTCGGCATAGAAAAATGTTGCTTGTGTACATTTTTCTTCCTCTACAGGGGTGAAGCACTGCACATCAGGTGATGGGATAATGTCTTCTGGGTCCTCCACTGTAACTGTTGTCTCAGGATATGGACGGCGGGACAAAGCATCAGCTACTTCATTTTTCTTTCCAGCTTTGAATAGTATTTCATAGGAATATCCTTGAAGTAGTACTGCCCATCGAGCTAAGCGACCTGTTGACTGCTTTACATTTTGTAGCCATTTGAGTGCTGCATGGTCTGTAAAGATTTTAAAGGGTTTTCCTGCTAAGTAAACATGAAAAGTCTTTATTCCCTCAATGATGGCTAGTCCTTCACGTTCAGAAATAGGATACTTCCTCTCATGTTTGTTTAATGATCGTCCACCGTATGCGATGACTCGGTCCTTCCCATGAACATCACGTTGTCCAAGGATATAGCCTATAGCTGTGCCAGATGCATCTGTTGTTAGGGAGAATGGACGTGTATGGTCTGGGTAGGCCAAGACAGGTGGTGTTGTTAACAAGGTTTTTAGCTTTTCAAAGGCAACTTGGCAATTTTGAGTCCATGTAAATTCCTTATCTTTGGACAACAAAGCTGATAGTGAGCTGGTAATTTTGCTGTAACCTTTCACAAATCTCCGGTAATAATTACATAGTCCTAGGAATGATCTTAGTTCCTTTTGGTTCTTTGGAGTAGGAAAAGATTGGACAGCGTCTGTTTTTGACAAATCCACTTTTATGCCATCTTTCGTCAAAATATGTCCAAGGTATTTCACTTCTGGTAGTGCAAAATAGCATTTGCTGGGTTTAAGTGTTAGGCCAGCTGATTGGAGGCGACTGAAGATTTCATCTAGGTGTTTTAAATGATCTGTGAAGGAATTGGAAAAGACGAGGATGTCGTCCACATAAACGAGGCAAGTTTTCCAATTAAGTCCACGAAGAACATGGGTCATCAGTGCCTGGAAGCTGGCAGGTGCATTTACTAAACCGAATGGCATTCTCTTCCATTGGTACACACCAGTAGGGGTAACAAATGCTGACTTATGTTTGGTCTCATCATCCATGGGTATTTGCCAGAATCCTGAAGCAAGGTCCAATGTTGAGAAGAATTTGGCTTGTGTGGTACCAATTGTGTCAAACACATCCTCTAGTCTAGGCAAAGGGAAAGTAAACTGCTTGGTAACAGCGTTGAGTTTACGGTAATCCACAGCAAACCGTAGCTGGCCATTTTTCTTCTTCACCATTACTACAGGGCTCTGCCACATGGAGTCTGATTCTTCAATAATATCTGAATCTAACATTTCTTGTAGTTGGCGATTCATTTCTGCATTTGTTTGGGGTGATTGTCTGTAAAACCGTTGTCTAATTGGTAAGGCATCACCTGTTTCTATGCGATGTGGTTGGGTTTTGGCTTGACCTAGTTCTTGAAGATTTGTGGCGAAAACAGATCTGTGTTTGTTTAAGAATGTCAAGAGTAACTGTTTCTGATCATCTCTTAGGTCTGCATGGTCTAGGTTGATGCTGACTGGTTCTTGAACAGTATTTCCTGTTGACACTTTCTTTTCACTCGGGGTATCCATGGTGAACACTGTGTCAGGGTCAACAATCGTTGCAGTTGCAATCACAGTAGTTGCTTTGAGTTGGATGGTTTTGTTAGTTGGATTCATAATTTGAATGAAGGCTTTGTTGTTTTTAGTGTCCACAATTGACTTTGCACCAGCGAGTTTCAGGGATGGTAGTTTTGCAATGGGTTCCAATAGTACACAGGAATTTTTAGGCACATTTGACACAAATACTTGTAGCGAAGTCACAGAATGTTTTGGTAAGATTGTGTATCTGTACACTTTTGCACATCCTGTATTGGTATCAAAGGCATATGTTGTACTTTCAGAGTCACGCACATATAGAGTATTGTTTTCTGTGTTGAAAATTCCATCGTTGGCTTGTAAGAAATCCAGTCCAAGAATAAGGGGTTGATGAAATGATCTGAAGACATGGAATCTGTGGGGTATGATTGGTCCATTGAATGACACTGGGAGGGTTATAGCACCAAGGCTTGCATGTCGTTCACCACCGACTGCGACAGCATCTCTAATGTCAGATGGTTCTAATTCATTATGGTTCAGACCAAGTTTTGGCAAAAGGTGAGCACTTAAACAGGAAATGCTGGCTCCTGTGTCGACTAAAGCTTTGATTGGAATTCCAAAAACTGAAATGCTTACTGTGTTCTTTTCCACTGGCATAATTAGATTGACACTTCTAGCTGATGTTGTTGCTTTTGTTTTAGTTGAATGGTGTTTTTGACGTTTGTTAGCACTACTAGGCAAAGAACGGTTAGTTGTTGCTTGCTGTTTTGAGAAATTAGCTTTTTGAGTTTTGTTAGCACTAGACAAAGGTTTGTTAGTTGAACGTTTGTGGTTAGTTGAGGATGCTGGGGATTGTGATTGATGTTTAGTAACATGTTGCCTATCCTTTTTGGGGACAGGCACGAATCCCTATCTCTTATTATTAGTGTTTTGTTTAGTAGAAGGTGTTTGTCTATTAGCTTGTGCTTTAGGTTTTGTGCAAACTGAGCTGTAGTGGTGAAATTTCTTACAATTACTGCACTGAGAGTTAAAGGCAGGGCATTTTTTTCTATCTGGGCATGACTTACCACCACAACCGCTGCAGTTCTGAATTCCACCCGCACACTCTCTTCTTTCATCTTGGTGACGTCTGGGGGTCTGGTCACGTTGGTTCCAGTTCCTCGGTCCTTGGGAGTCAGGGGGTCTGGACTTTCTGGACTGGTCCTCGTTGTGGTAATGTTGACTTGGCTCACGCTCTCTCGAACTGTCACGGTAACTGGAACGGTCTCTAGACTGATCTCTGTAACTGTCCCTGGACTGATCTCTGTAACGGTCCCTGGACTGATCTCTGTAACGGTCTCTAGAGTGATCTCTGTAACGGTCTCTAGACTGATCTCTGTAACGGTCCCGCGAATGATCTCTGTAATGTGAGTTTTGACAATGGTGACGTTCTCTGGAATGATCCTGATAATGGTCACATCGAGGTGGAGCTCTGTGGTAATCACAATAAGAATGCGCATGGTTATCTCCTGGGCATTCCTCTCGGTAGGAATACCTAGGTCTTTCCTGGAGTTGATCAGCTAAGGCACTGATTTGCGCAGTAACTGTCTGTTCGATATGCGAGTTAATGGATTTAGTCAATTCACTCAAATCGAAGGATGAATTGTTTGTCACAAATGACACTTGTTGATCACAACCAAGTTCTAACTGAACTAGGGAAATGTCTCTGCGAAGAGCTTGAAAAGTTTGGGGTTCTCTGGCAAGAACCCTTCCTCTGATGTTGTTAATCAAGCCATTTGCAATGAACTGCACCTTGTAGGCTTCATCGAGGTCATGGTGTGCCAGAGCAAGGCGCTCAGCTCTTTCAAGGTACTTTTCGCAGGTTTCTCCGGACTCTTGCCTAATTCCAAGGATGTTCGTTTTGTATGAAGCTGGCTTATAGCGTTCACTAAGGAGGTCTTTAAACGCTTGCAGAGTCTGGTACTGAGCCGGATTTAGAGTCTGGAACCAGGTTCCTGCACTTCCGTCCAGCAAGCAGGGAATATATTCTAACACTGCATTGTCTGTAAGCTTATTGAATTTCTGCCACGCAGTTAATTTCGAAAGCCAGATGCATGGCGACTCACTTCCATTGAATTTGTTTGGTTGAGAAGTTGCCATAATTGTTGGTTGAAGAGTTAAATGTTCTTCCTGTATGTTGTTTTGAGGAAGTTCAACACTGAGATGAGGATTCAAAGATTCCTCAGAAGATTCTGTTGAAATGTTGAGTTGATGGTCAACTTCTTCCTCAGAAGGTTGAGTTGATGATTGCGTTACATGTAGGTCATCACTCACTTGTTGATCATTTGTTTGCTGGTTTGAATAGTTTGCCCCTGTTTCTGTAGGAATTCCAGCAGAGTTGTCTGATGTAGTTGTCAGTTGATGCTGGGACTCAGCGACAGTAGATTCTGTACCTGTAGATTCTTGTCCTGTCTGCGATATCTTTGATGGAGTGACGAAGCTTGGGCTCCGTGGCCTCAGGTTGTAGTTGAGAGGTCTATTCTCTTTCATCCGGGACTATTAGGATGTCTGCACCAACTTATCACCGTGCTTTGGGGACTATGGTGATAACCAGTATTGCTAAACCTGAAAAACAGGACAGGAGACAGTCTTAAAATTTAAGCTGTTTATTCGAGGTTGTCCGTCGCAAAAGTGATCGGACAAAAACCCGATAGCGTCCCCTGTCCAGGTGTTGAGTTATTCTTGCCACTAATTGTTACAAAAGGGTGTTAATCTAAAAGGACTCATACTCGACATCAAACGAAAGATTAACAATAGGGTTTTACGGCAAAATACGATTTAAGTAATTATAAAAACAAAGTTCCATTTGCGGAAACCTAAGAAAAGCACAGATTTTACACGAAAGGATGACACTAATTGATTTCACAACTTTTCTCAAGAAAACTGACATATGGCCTCAAGTTATTATTTCTTCTAAATCCTAAGCCATAAAATTTATTGCAGTAAATAAAAATACTAAATGGTAAATAAAATTAATGAAATAAATAATTTGAAATTGATAATAAATTTAAACTAAATTTATACTATACAAAAAATAGAAATATATCAGAGGGTCAATTTTACACTATGATAGATGTATCATCCATGCAAGATAATGTTTGGTAAACATAGGACTAATCGTTACTTGGAAATAAGACCTGCACCAAACACATTAACCTGTTCACTCATGCAGAAAATGTAGGTCAGATCCAGCATCTGAAGCAATCTTGTTAATATGAATCCTTAGATGTATCATCTCTGCAAGTTTGGTCTACATACAATGTAGGACTTATCGTTATTTGAAAATGAGTCCTGCAGCAAAAATTCATCCAGAAAATGTAGATCAGATCCAGCAACTGAAGTAAGTTCACTAGTGTGCATACTTAGATGTATAATGCATGCAAGTTTGGTCAAAATAAGACTTATTGTTACTTAAATGGAAATGGGACCTGCAGCACTTGGCAATGGAGAGCTGCTAAGTTTGACCTATACTCGACACTTGGTGCCATTAAATGATCAGTAAGATCTTTTTCATGCTAGCTTCCACTGCCACACGGGGTTATTTGGCCTCATGCAAAGGACTGGTCTCCATGTCCCACAGTGGGATTTGAACCCTACTCCTCGACTCCATAAAGCAGATGCTCTTCCACTGCGCCATGTGGGCGACCCTTTAAGTCTGAACCAGCATTTGATATAGAACACTGTATGTGTACTGAATATTTTAATATCAATAAAATCAAAGAATACAAATTTGAAAGTTGAGTGTTAAAAAACTTAATAAATGCATAAGTTGATTTAATATGATTATTTGGACAGAAACCAATGAAGATTTCTTGATTTTTATCAACTGAAAAAGTTTTTTGCACCATAATTCATGAATCCATGCATTTCCAAAATCAAATTTACAAGAGTAATGTCTGAACTAATAATATTTACAAGTAAAAACACTACATTAAAATATATAACTTTATAAATACCAACATTCTAAATTCACATGACTTGAAGAAAGTTATATAAAACTGACATGTATATAATAAAATGTATGGTCTAATTATGAATTAATGAATGTAATAATCAATAAAAAATTATAAATTCTCCAGATTAGTTTATCAGTACAATGCATCTAAACAGTTTCCAAAATCAAATTTACAGGGGCAATGTCTGAACAAATAATATCTACCAGTAAAAACACTACATTAAAATATAATTTATTGAATACCATCATTCTAAATTCACATGACTTGATGAAAGATATATAAAACTGACATGTATATAAAAAAATGTATGGTCTAATTATGAATTATTGAATATAATAATCAATAAAAAATTATAAATTCTCCAGATTAGTTTATCAGTACAATGCATCTCAACAGTGAGCAATTTAAAATTTCCACAGTTAAAGGGCAATAACTCTCTTGAAAACTGATTTATAAAAAATACAAAACATAAGGACATAAGATACAAACTTTTTTTTCAAAAAAAAAAAAAAAAAACAAACAAAAAAAACCTGCATAAATTTGTACTTTTTTCATTTAAAAGTTTCATAATGATGTAATATTAGTGATAAAAGTAGATATTTATAAGATGATGGCAAAAAAGGTAACATTTTGAAAAAATCGTAGAAAGTTAAAAATTTAAAAACCACCTTATGATTTTAGAAATTCAATATTTTACATCATTCACAACCAAATTACAATGTTAAATAAATATCAGCTAGTCTGTACATCCATTTATTTATGTTACCTTTCCTTTAATTTGAAATACATATAATGCAAATTAACCCAATGCATACTACTGGGTCAAGAAAGAAAGAAAAAATTGAGAATTTTTTCATGGTCTAAGGGCAATAACTCTTTTGAATAACTGGTCAATAGTCACCATACCTGTTTATATGTTTACTTCATAAAAGTAGGAAGAGATATCACACAGCAATACTATGTACATGTACAATGTAGTACATCTCAAAGATAAATGTTCATGTAATTTAGATATAGTTAGACTAGACCCAACTTGCAGTAATTTGAAAAAGAGAATTCATTTATTTGAAGTCTAAGGAAGTTCAGCATTGTTAATTATCCAAGTTCTCAACAACAAATGGAAATAAAATATCCTAGTGGAAGCTTGAAATTTAGTATGACATGTATAAAAATTTAAATGAACACAAAAGAGAACTTAAATTTAAGTTCTTTACAAAATAAGTTTACATACAAATAAATGAAAGTGACAATACTAATACTAGTTCTTCATTTTACTGGTTCCCTTGCTCTTTATCAGGGTTGCGTTCTTAATAACATTAAGTGACTCTTCAGACTGAGCGGTTCCAGTCGGTCCTCCGGTGGCAACATCTGGTTCAAGCGCTCCATCTTGGGGACCAGGTTCTGCATGCTGTCCTTGACCCGGTTAAGAATGGAGAGCGTCTCCAAGATCCGCTGAAATTGGTCCGAATGTTTGTTATATTTCTTCTGTTTGTCCTTCATCAGGCCCAGTAAAAACTGTATTGCGCAATCAATCTATAAAACAAAGAACACGGAGTGTAAGTTTTCTTTGACTTTCACAAAATTTGACACTGAAGGATTTGTTTTCATATTTTCAGTTTTAATCCCCCCCCCTCCCAAATATAGCAAAAAAGTGGACATAAAGTAGATCCATCTAAGACTTTTCTACAGAAATTTATTTTATGAATATCTAATTCTAAACTATTAGGAACACACTGCTAAATATACATGTCCAGTACTACTACATGTATCCAGTGTCAATAAAATTACTCAACTGTTGGAGTAGATTACAATTATATTCTGTTAATGTACTGAATGAAATAAACTCTTATTATATAAACTTGATAAATCTGCAATGAAAATAAGGCTTCACAAATACTTACATTTATTAAGGGTAGATGTGAAGAGTATACAAAGAAATAAGGGATAATAAATACATGTACATATAAATGTATAAAACAATGTTCAGTAAAAAAAAAAATCAGTTCTAAACCCCTACCTCTTTAATCCTTACACACAGAGAATTAAGGTTGGGGTGATGTCATGTTTTTGAGTACTGGTTTCTGTCAGATCTTTTTCTCTTGGACTAAGTGGTCGATGACGATGGGACATTACGTGGTGATCTTTGACTCGGTCAGAATTTGTGGCTGATGATGGGACATTATGTGGTGATCTTTGACTCGGTGGTCAGAATTTGTGGCTGATGATGGGACATTATGTGGTGATCTTTGACTCGGTGGTCAGGATTTCGTGGCTGATGATGGCACATTATGTGGTGAGAGTATAGGAGAATCTATAATATCAAACCAAATTCATTTAAAAAAAATCAGTTCTATACCCTAGCTGCAGAACTGTAGCTCTTCGAAAAAACAAGAGGCCCATGGGCCACACCACTCACCTGAGCATTGTGGCTAAGAAAAATGAGAAATTGGTTTATTATTGAAAAGTTTAAATCCAAAAGTAGTCCCATGACCAATCATTGCTTTGCTATTGTTGAACAAAAACTTAAGACATTTAAACATTTTCCTTTGTTCTTCATAATTCTTCTCCCACTTTACACAAAAATATTATACAAAATTGCCTATTTCATAAAACATGTATATATGTAAATAATCATGCTATGTCAAGATACATATATTTGTACAGTGCTGTACCTATATCAAAGTATGTGAGATCTACTATGTTTCCATAGTCGGACTTGTCCACATTAATAGCTTTGTTCCAAGTGGCATTTCTCTATCCTGTTAAAAAAGCAAATCAATAAAAGAAACAATTAATTTATTTCTAACTTCAATATATAAAACACACTACTGACTTGTAAATGTTGATTCCCCCCCCCCCCCCCCATGTCAGTGAATGTGGCCAGAGAGAAAGCAGATCCAGGAGCTTCACAGAAAACTAAACCTTTCACTTTCTCTCCTCGTCAAACAAAACCATAATCAGCACTTATACATATCTATATTCAAGTAAAAATCAGATAATTTTAAAAAATTGCATATATTTTTCTTTATCTTAATTTTTTTTTCTGATGATTTATAGAAAATTGGATATTCATAAAAAAAATCAATGACATAATACAGTGTATATCAAGGTAATTTGTTATTTTACCAGGTATAGAAGTATTCTTGGTGGTCTGTTTAGAGCAGTTAACAACACTGTTTCCCTCCAGTTTTTCAGACTCCCATAATTTGACTGTACCATCATTGGAGGCCGTGGAAAAAAATGCATGGTCTTGAGAAACTTGAATCCTGCTAGTAGATAACACATTCTTTAATTATGTACATATAATAACAAATTATTTGGCTAAGGCAGTTAAATTTCAATAAAGTCATTGCTGAATAGTATTACATAGAGAAGATGAATGTAAGTGCTTAGAAGAGTTATTCCCTTTGATGATGCACTTTTTTTTCATACAGGTCATTAATCAGTACTTTCTGAGCCCCCCTCCCTACCTGTTGACTGCCGCCCTGAGTTCCTGGAGGCCACCAGTAGCCCCTTGGGTTTCCAGTTACTGGGTAGGGGCCTCCTCTCCCAGGGTTTCCAGTTACTGGGTGGAGGCCTCCTCTCCCGGGCTATCTCCAGTAAGTCTTTAGATTCCGCCATGTATAGCTACGCTTCTTGTGGACAATGTTCCTCAGGGCTATCTTACAGGGATGATATTTTGCTGTAATTCAAAATATTGTAGGATTAAATATTAATGTTTCAAATAGCAGAAGTATTTTAGCACTAAAACATACAATACAATACATCTACATGTATATCATATGTTTATCAGCACAGTAAATTAAACATTTTCAAGCATCTGAGATACTTATACGTGGAGGCTCTTACTGGTGGTTTTTTTGTCAGTGATCTTCTCTGTCAGTGATCATTCTGACCCCTCAGATGACCCCTGACTCGGTGACTGACCCCTCAGATGACCCCTGACTCTGTGACATCATTACAAAGCTTCCCGATGATGAAGATGATGCATGACTCAGGGTCTGTGAAGTATTTCGCTCCCTCTCCAGACTCTCGGCAGTTTTCTGTAGGGACGGGCTTTTGGAGACAAACTATTGGAGGAGGAATCTGATTCATTGGAGCCTTTAACATACTCTTCCACTCAGAGCTCTGAAATATCCATACAATATCATAAAATATTATACATGTATTAAGTTACCATTAACAGAACCATTTATAATATTTCTTTTTTTGGTCAATTAAAATGTAGGCATTTTTGGTTTTTAAATAACTTTATCTGTAACAAAAAATGTAGAGTAACACGTACAGCTACTCACTATGTTTATCGACTGGTCCTAAATTGGATTTGTCTTTTTAGGCCTAAATTTTTAAATTTTGAATTAGTTTACAAGTCTATTTAGCAAGTTAATTGAATTAAAATGTACTTTTAAAGGATACATGTAAAGTCAGTGTAAAATACATTTAGCTTATCTAAAGTTTGTACGTGTTTGGTGATATCACTTGATTCTTGCTCTCAATAACTAATAACTTGTCTGCAAAACACAGTGGGTAGAGTGTCTGCTCTAGAGTCACAGAGTAAGGAGTTGACATCCTGTCAATGATACAATCTTAAATTCTTTAAAAATCTTCTTCTCAGAATGATCTGAACATTATGGATTAGCTTACCTACTTTTTCGTGACACTGCTATAAGAAGTGTTTGTCGAATATCATGGGCTCAGTGAGTGTACAACTGCCGACTGGCTACTTTGAAACTACTTTGAGGTTTTTTTTATTTGACGCCAATATGAAATTAATATTTTTTCAATCTTGAACCCGATGCAAATTTGACATAAAAAGTGAATACAGCACATGAACAGCTTTCTTAAATTCAAATGAGGCAATTTGAAAAGATGATTTTGTGAAACACTTATTCAGCTGATGACAGCTCTATATAGACCAAGATTAAAGCTTTCAAATATATTCAAACTCTATAAGATCGAGAACTAGAATATTAAAAGATGTTTAAATATAATAGCCCCTTAACCCCCCTCCCCCCTTTTTTCCCAGTAAAAAGTTATGGCGATCAGGGGTTTCACAGTTTTTCTTAACTTAGTAGATCATACTCCAAGTTCTTAAAGTAATTTCAAAATTATTGGTACCAAAGGAAAGTTCTTCTCAAAAGGAACATAGGCGTCGGAAGCAAATTGAAAGTGGGGGGGCTAAGTGTAAAAAAAAATTTTTGTACCTTCACAGAAAACCTGACAAGCAAAAAAAAAAAAAAGGGGGGGGGGGGGTTCGAGCTTCAGTACCAAAATTTTTTTTCTCCAAACACCACCACTTTCCCAATTTTTAACCTATAGTAAGACGTATCTGTGGAAAGTGGGGGGGCTAAACCTACGATGATACGTTCAATGTCTATACTAAGTATATATATGGAAAAAAAGTGGGGGGCTAAGCCCCCCCTAGCCCCCCCCCCCCCGGTTCCGACGCCTATGAGGAATACATATGATTAATGTGAAAGCACAGACACCTGACGTTACTTATTTTTCTTTTGATAAAAAAAAGTATACCCCCTACATAATTATTAGAATTAAAATAAGTAACGTCAGTTTCCTGAGTGTGAAAGCATCACTTAACTGTACTAAAGATATAGGAAAGGTTATTCAATTTTTTTTATCAAACACAAAGTATAAAACTACGGAAGTCTATTAGGATCAATCTAGAAAGACAAAAAAATGAAAGGCGTTATAACGCCTTTTGAAAAGACGTAATAATGCGACAAAAGGCGTGTTATCACACTTTTCATTCCAAAATGCGTTATAACGCCTTTCTAAAAAGCGTTATTACGCCTTTCCATTCTTAAAGGCATTATTACACCTTTCTAAAAGGCGTTATTACGCCTTTCAAAGATGCTTTATTACGCCTTTTGAAAAGGCGTTATTACGCCTTTTTAACAGGCGTAATAACGCCTTTCCAAACGGCGTTATTACGCCTTAGGCATTATTACGCCTTTCTAAAAGGCGTTATTACGCCCTTCTAAGATGCTTTATTACGCCTTTTGAAAAGGTGTTATAACGCCTTTTTAAAAGGCGTAATTACGCCTTTCCAAACGACGTTATTACGCCTTTCCAGTCTTAAAGGCATTATTACGCCTTTGTAAAAGGCGTTATTACGCCTTTTGAAAAGTCGTTATTATGCCTTTTTGAAAGTCGTAATTACGCATTTACAAAAGGCGTTATTACGCCTTTTTAAAAGGCGTTATTACGCCTTTCCAAAAGGCGTTATTATGCCTTTCTGAAAGGCGTTATTATGCCTTTCTAAAAAGCGTTATTACGCCTTTCCAAAAGAGTTATAACGCTTTCTGAATAACAATTATTTTGCATCAAACAGGCCAGTTATTTTACCCCCCCCTCCCCACACACACACTCTACTGGCCAAACTCGTGGGCCTCAGTAAAACTTTGTTTAAATGCAATAATTTGCCACTGTTTTACAAACCGCAACAAAATGTTCTAGAACCAAGCACCCAATAGTTTAAAATTATAATATCTAAACTGTTACACTGAAGACTTTCCCCCAAAAATGAGTATGTGTGAAGGGGGGGTTACCCCATTCGCACTCGTACTACTGGCCTACTTGAAAAGGAAAATGGGAAAGCATTATTTTATTGATAAATGTATGAAAGATTTAATTAAAACAATCTTTATTTATGCAATTATTCTCTTTATTCCTGCACATCACACTGACAACTTTTTGCGTTCGTATTAAGAGAAGGGAACACTCTACTTGGGAAGATACGATATATACAGATTATCTTGGAGCTTTGCTTGCAATGGCTTAAAATTCCTGTCATTTGAAGATATTTTTTCTCTTTTCTTGGGTTAAATATGTTCAAAATAAAGACGTAATAACGCCTTTTGGAAAGACGAAATAACGTCTTTTATAAAGGCGTAATAACATCTTTTATAAAGGCATAATAACGCCTTTCAGAAAGGCGTAATAACGCCTTTTAGAAAGGCGTAATAATGCCTTTTAGAAAGGCGTAATAACGCCTTTTAGAAAAGCGTAATAACGCCTTACCAAAAGGCGTAATAACGCCTTTTAGAATGGAAAGGCGTTATAACGCCTTTGAAAATAACGCCTTTTTCCGCGTTATTACGCCTTTTCGAAAGGCGTTATAACGCCTTTTAATTTTTTTTCTCTCTAGATTGCTCCTAATAGGCTTTCGTAAAAAAAAACTTTTGTACTTTGCATAACCTATTCAAAAGATGTCACAAAATTTGTAAAAGGTTTTCCAAATGAAGGTCAAATTCTACAAGTAATGTATAAAAATGTTGGTGCCCATGGAATAAAATCACTTGTCATATAAAGAACCTCGGGATCCCAGCATCACTAGTCCAAGGGCGGGCGGATCCAGCAATTTTTTAAAGGTGGGGTCCATGGTTGTGTCCCTCTAACCCCCCCCCCCCCCACACACACACACACCGATTCACACTCACGTATGGAAAGATCTAACGTTGTGGTAAATAATATATCTGTTTTACCAGGGAACTTTAAACTAATATACTATATATTAGTATATAGGTCCCTGGTTTTACGTTACTTTTTTCTTTGAAAAAGTGCCCCAAGTCCGAATAAAAAACAAACACATTTCAAAAACTACTAAAGCCTGAATATTAAATGGTTTTGCAGCATTTCCGAGGAGTACAAAGAATTTTCTTTTACAATTTGAAAAAAAAAATTTTTTGGGGGGGTGGGGGTGGGGGTGGGTTGGGGGTGGGTGGGATGTGTGTTGGGTTTAAAACAGAGTGACATGTTACATATATACATACATGTTACGGTAAATAAATAGATCGCGTGAATCTAATATCAAATTAAACAACGCAAATTAC